GGGACTAAAACAGAAGGCTTTTCTGGAAAGATATTCTTAAGAAAACTATCAGCCACTAGACTCCTGACCAGGAAACTCAGGGGTGGGGTTGCAGTAGAATCTAGAGAAATCAACATGACCTGGGAGAGGGCCCTTCAAAGAGGTAAGGTCTTAAAGGCATGTTCAAAAAACCAAAAGCAGAAAGCTACAGGGGTCACACCAGTGAGACCAGTGCCAGGAAAGCTACAGTCAGCAAGGTAATAACCATCAAAAGGGTTGTTTTTAAATATTTTGTTTAGAGCAAGAAAGAGTAAGAATGCATAGCACTCATGGCTTAGGAGTGATGACCCTAACCAGGGGTTGGCAAATGTTTTCGGTAAAGGGCCAGGGAGTAAATATTTAGGATTTATGGGCCATCCGGTGCTGGCTGCATACACCTGACTCCGCCATTGGAACGTGAAGCAGCTACAAACCATCTGTAAAGGACTAGGCATGGCTCTGTTGCAATAAAACTTTATTTACAAACACTAAAGTTTTTCATATAATTTTCACATGTCCCTAAATATTACTTTTTATTTTTGTACAACTATTTAAAAATATTAAAACCATCCTTGGCTTGCAGGTCATACAAAACAGGCCATGGTTGTGGTTGGGCCATGGACTTTAGTTTGCTGACCTTAACCCAGATGGATAACAGAGTGAGCCAAGTCAAGTGACCCTCATTTTATCTTTTTAGGGAAACACATCTTCAAACCCTATGGAGTGACACAGTGATGGGGGAAGTGAAGAGCAAGGAAGGCAGGGAGGAGGCTTGGGCAGCCGGCTGCTTGCCTGCTTAATCCATGTCCGTAGGGCCAGCAGGATGTAAAGGATGGTGCTGGAATTACAAACAGTGATCGATGAGGAACTTGAGTGAACAGGTAATATCAGGGAACTGGATAAGAGGGGGGAAAAATCATATTTTCTAAAAGGGACAATAAGAAAATTATTGTTCTGTGGTCTGGAAGTGATCTGCAGTAAACTTCGAACGCTTATTATGAGTGAGGTGGCTCATGAGCACTCAGGAAAGAGTGGCGATCCTGCAGGCTGGCAGGGTTTACCAAGAACATGCCACACTCACACCAGGTCTATATATATATATATAT